CAAAGCAAACTTTATTCATGTTTGCTTCTAAAAATCAGTAACAAGATTAAATAATGCCTATGTTAAAAGCAGACTTATTTAGAGCATGTTTATACAGGTACTTCAGAATCCATTAGTGTACAAGTTCAAGGTTACATCTAAAACACACACATTTTGTGTATACTTAAATGTGTGATAAATATATTCATTAATATATTATCTATATCTATTTATAAGGATTGCATAAAAGTGTGAATAAGTGTGTGTGTGAGTAAACATTCTTTTCAATGTCTAGTAGTTTTGTTAAAATTTTCATGGTTAAGTTTTGCAAGATTTTGAATTTTGCATAACATTTTAGTACTTTTTGTTTCCTTTTTCTTTTAAGAGAAATTAATAGATTCTAACATGTTTTTCACATCCTAGATGATAGTTAATTGAGAATGACAGTTAATCAACATTCCATTGTATACATTATATAAGACATTGTTATACATAATGAAGATGAATTCTTACTGTTAGTTAATATACATGGTCATCTTTGTTTTAATCGCTTCTCATTATAAAATTTTATTCTCTCATCACCATAGCAAAGTCTTGTTTATATATCATCTGTTTAAGTTTATTATGTGATGTTAAATGTTTTATTTTTTATCAAGTTTAATAAATTTTGCATTTGGAATAATAAAACTGCTCCAAGAGTAGCAGTATATTGTATGTGTAATAATAGAAATAAAACTAACATAAAAACAATTTTTTGCTAAAATTAAAATTTTTTCATCCAATTTAAAATGAAATAATTTCAGTTCTTGATTTTTATTATTTATTACATTTTATCTTCTATCAGGCATTCACCAATGGCACATAGTAAGAACACCACCAAAATAAATTCAAATGTATTTTTAACTGTTAATAATATATTTTGATGCAAAGTTATAATTAATGAAACAAATAAAATAACACATATTTCAACAAGTTATTTTTCTTATTTTTAAAGTAAGAATATTTGGTTTTAAATTTCTAAGTTAATTGATTTGTATGTATTATAATTAACAATGAGCATCTTTCCTAATATTTTATATGCAGAAAATTATAGCATGAAGTTCAACTCTAAACAAAATATTTACTTTATTTTCATTAATATCAGATAATCATAAGAAAGACATAATGAATTTATTATTAAATCAAAAAGGTTACTGATATAAAAAATGGAATGCAAAACATTTATTATTCTATAGTTTAGCAATTGATAAATTGTTCAAATACACACTTATCGATCAATTTTCCTATAAACTGTAATATGTTTCACTTCTCCTTTAATAAATTTCTAAATATAAATTCAATTAATTAATTTAAGATTATTATATCAAAAAATTTTTATTCAAAAGATTTAACATATCTTAGATTTATTAAATTAAGTAATTCATCATCAAAAAAAAAAAAAAAAGGTTTAAACTATGAAAAAGAATTTTATAAGATCCATATTGAGTATTTAAAACATTCTAAATGGAATATATTAATACTTTTTAAATTTTAAACATATCAATACATCTTTTTTTATGAAAAATAAAATCAATAAAAATTACTATTTAACATCTTACTAGGAATAAAATAATATATTCTAACATTCTTTTCCAGTTAAAATCATCATGAATCTTTTTGGGGTACTAAAATTACAAAATAATTGTAAATCAAAAAGTTAAAATTATATTTTAAAAAACTTAAGTGAATTCCACTCAAAATTGATTGTATTCTGTTTTGTTTGATTAAAAATTAAACTTACATTCCTTCAGTTTATGAAAATATTTCACTGAGAAGGAAAAGAATAGAATCAAAACAATTATCTAAATAAAAATATTTTTCTGGTATAATCTTGTTAATAAGCAGGAATTACAAACATCATTTTCATGTGAAGAGAGTTATATGTTTATAGAAAAACATTATAGTTTTGACCACAACTCTATTCCTAATTAAAATAGCAAGATTATCATAGGAACTGATAATACAATTTTCAGGAACTTGAATTCAACTTGAATTCTACAAGTTGAATTCAAGTTAGTTGAAGGCTAATTCTACAGTGTTTAACTGTAAAAATTTGACAGCAAGATGGTAGAGTGATTAAGATGACAGCATACTACCACTCTGGGAGTCAGAACTGAATCCACCACAGGAACCTCAGTAAAAAAACCTCAGGAACTTTTTAATAGGTAGGTAGTCAATCCCACAAATGTCAAGCCCCATCCTTTACCACCTGGCTACTCCATTGTGGACCTTGCTAAACTCAGAATAAACTTGATTAAAAGGCTCTCTTGGTGCCCACAGGGCAGAATGAGTTAAAAATTTTTATAGCTCAAAACATTTTGAATTCAATAAATCTTCACAATGTTATTACCACTAAACAATCCACTGAGTTATTTTAAGGCTAGTAAATAAATTAAATACAAATTAATTTGGGCACAAGTATGGTTATATCTAAATTAATTAATTAATAGTTCTAAAATTAAAGATCACACAGAGATCCAAGCAGTGTAACTGGTAACACATCTGTGCATGGTAGAGTTCTGAGTTCGAGTCATGCTTTGAACTGATTCTTTTTCTTCCAGAATATTCTAAATTAAAATTAACTTATTTCTCATTACTAAATTTACTATGAGATGACAGTGTAACCTTAGCTAAACTGATTTGTATGTAATTTATTTACTAGCCTTAAATAACTTGATGGATAATTCAGCAAAAAATAAATAAAGTTGTTATTTGCTATATACATTATTATTCAAATCCAGTAGACAACCTATGAGCCACACATTTCTTCATAAACAACATACACAGATGACTTGTCAGTAAACCTGACACTGAACTGTTGCAAAGTTTCTTAAATTGACTTCCTATACAAAATAATCAGGAAATTTTAGAACTTTGGAATCTAATACCTCCAGAATGAGTAATCGGATCAGAAAGCAAAGCTATCTTCAATATATTTCAAAAAACTGGGTACTTAATTATATAACACTCATCTATTTGATGAGTGTTATATAATTATATAACCATCACCAGTTCATAACCAAACAGTTCACAAACCAAATATAACCATCACCAGTTCATAACCAAACAGAAAAATTCTTTCTACGAACGTTTTCATCTATATGTAATAGACATCCTCAGGTATTGACAATATCAAACTAACAGCTAGTAGAATAGAATGTTTTTGAAAGTTCTGTTGAAACATATTTTACATATTTTCAATTTTAACGCAAAATATTCGAATTATGTAGCTAAACGGAACTTTCAAAAACATTCTATTCTACTAGCCGTTAGTTCAATATTGTCAATACCTGAGGATGTCTATTACATATAGATGAAAACATTCGTAGAAAGAATGTTTTCATCTATACTGTTTGGTTATGAACTGGTGATGGTTTATTTGGTGAGTGTTATATAAGAAAGCAAAGCTTATTGCATGTCTGCAGATCCAGCCCTATTTATCAATACCTAATTTGTTCAAATCCACTAAGAGAGCTAAGAGTTCAACTAACAAAAATATACTTAGCATGATATACATAGATAAAAACAACTGCTCTTATCAGTTAAAACATTTAGTAATACCTGAATACAACTTAACTAGAATAATTCAATTGAATGACTATACAAAACTCAACCAAAGTATATGTAATGTTATCAAATACAATCTCATTTCATTTATAACATACCAATTTAAACTTTAGATTTTTAGAAACTTTTATTGATTTCTAAATCTTAGCAGATTTTTGTCAACAATCATCATCTGGAACTATAAGTTGGAAATTCTAAGTAAGCCATTCATTCATACTAAAATGTTAAACCATGCTAACACATTACATAAAACAAACTTTACATTGCAACAGTGAGAGAACAGTTATAAACTCAGTAATAAATATAACAATTGAAAACATTGAACTACTTGAAAATATCTGATTTCCTTAATTAGAACTCTAAATGTTTCTATAGATAACAAATCAAAACAATCAAGATCTCCAGAGATAACAGATCAAGAATTTCAGAATGTCAACACATTCTTTTATGCCCCTTTGAAGGATTTTTAATAAATTTCCCACACAAAATACCACTTATAGAATTAATAAAAATAATATACATTTATATCATGAATAATTTACATGGAGAAGATTTAATTTATACGATAACTGTAATTTATACAATATGACTACACCTCTGAACGAGACAATTGGGACCTTATTAAAGCCATAGACCATACCCATAGGAGCAAAAAAAGTCAAAGAAACCACACGACCCTCAACAAGATACAGTACCCAAAATCAGCCTATGCATGCGATCATAAGTCACATTGCTCCGCCAAGATTATCGCATTTAACCATTTAGTCCACACGACCGAGCCAGCTTCAAGAAGCCTACTCAACCCTTTATGGACTACTTGATGTCACACAGTCTTGGGGTGTGGGGTCCACAATTCTGGGGGTGGGAAACAAGAAACCACTCACTCAGATTTCATATCTTACAGTTTATAAATTGTAATTAAATATTTCTAAATGTATATGCACGCCAAATCTGATCAATTACTCGCCGGATGTAACCAACAATTATCAATTTTCATTTAATATGATCCAATTTAGCAATTTAAACAGCAAGTTACTTTCTTAATATCATCGATTTTCCAGCCAAATTAATTAATTATCCCGCTTTTTAACATAATTTATTGATATTAATAACCATAGACTTCACGACACGTGATAATTGTAACAGAAATTCCTGTTTTTTTAGTCCTTTTACATTTTACAACAACTGAACTTTCTCGATTTTCGTTGTCATCCGCCATCTTGTCACCGACTTCGATCGTTTGATATTGGATTTTGAACTTTTCGTAAACAAAACACGCGCAAATTACTTTCGTAATTTATAACGTAATCGAATAACGGGTATTAATTAATATTTTATTTACGGTGTATACGAGTATTTTTATGTTTAAGTGGTAACAGACGAAGTAAACTTCGTTGCATCAGATGTTTGCTCACCTTTCTCTTTTCTAAATTCCTAACTTTCTTTTCTACAACCGTTAATATCTGCTTAACGGTATCCGGAGCATCTGTAGAAGTTTGTTTTTCTAGTTTGAAGGCAGAAGGCATCTTAAATTAATTGTCCTTTCTCTTAAAAAAAAAAAGTTCAATCCTGGTTAGCAAGTAGCAAATGCTTCTCGCTTCACGTGCCGACTAAATCTCAACACCAGATGGCCGTAATTATTTACAGCTTTTAAGATCGTGACGTAAATACGTCATTGCTGAAACGTCACGATTTTAAATTATTATAATTATTTAAAATATTACGAATAAAAATGTTCGAGTATATTTTTAAATAAATANAATCTATATATGGTGTAACTTATATATTGGGCTTTCCATATTTAATTTTTAATATACATTATACTGTATTTAGTAATAAAATCATTTCTATGTGAACTAGATCAAAATATACATTTTACATCAGCAAAACTGTATAATTTGAGATAATATAATGTATAAAATGAATGCTATAATGAAAGATAATATTAAATCTACAAAAATAAACAAACATGGCTTGAATTAGTCATAAATCTAAATTACTGGATTTTTTACTACATTTAGACTAATTTTTAATTATGGGAAGATGGGTGATGGCCATTATGGGAAGATCAACTTGAAGTAGAACTCAAACCCAACTTCTGCTACTATACAGATGTGTTATGTTACCACACTTCCAATTAACACATCTGGAATCAAATTTTTGCTTCCACACATTTATTAACTAGAACTACATAATCACACACATTAATGCTTTGGTCAAATTCCATAATTTAATTAAAAATAGACTGTAACCCAAAAATCCTTAATTTAGATTTATTGATGAATATAAAAAATAAGTACATTAAGTTTCTGGCATAATCATCACAAGACAACAGATATATAGTTTCGTTAATTATTATTATTATTTAGCACATTACATATTTGATTGTATAATTTTTGAAAAAGAGCAATTGGAGTTAACTCTACTGCTTGGTAGTTATGGAGTAATGTGGTCATGTGAGTTATCAGACTTTTGGACTAACTATGATATTTATAATGCTTTCAAATGACTTGCCAGCAAAATTAATTTTATCACTCAACCTACNCCACAATTCTGGGGGTGGGAAACAAGAAACCACTCACTCAGATTTCATATCTTACAGTTTATAAATTGTAATTAAATATTTCTAAATGTATATGCACGCCAAATCTGATCAATTACTCGCCGGATGTAACCAACAATTATCAATTTTCATTTAATATGATCCAATTTAGCAATTTAAACAGCAAGTTACTTTCTTAATATCATCGATTTTCCAGCCAAATTAATTAATTATCCCGCTTTTTAACATAATTTATTGATATTAATAACCATAGACTTCACGACACGTGATAATTGTAACAGAAATTCCTGTTTTTTTAGTCCTTTTACATTTTACAACAACTGAACTTTCTCGATTTTCGTTGTCATCCGCCATCTTGTCACCGACTTCGATCGTTTGATATTGGATTTTGAACTTTTCGTAAACAAAACACGCGCAAATTACTTTCGTAATTTATAACGTAATCGAATAACGGGTATTAATTAATATTTTATTTACGGTGTATACGAGTATTTTTATGTTTAAGTGGTAACAGACGAAGTAAACTTCGTTGCATCAGATGTTTGCTCACCTTTCTCTTTTCTAAATTCCTAACTTTCTTTTCTACAACCGTTAATATCTGCTTAACGGTATCCGGAGCATCTGTAGAAGTTTGTTTTTCTAGTTTGAAGGCAGAAGGCATCTTAAATTAATTGTCCTTTCTCTTAAAAAAAAAAAGTTCAATCCTGGTTAGCAAGTAGCAAATGCTTCTCGCTTCACGTGCCGACTAAATCTCAACACCAGATGGCCGTAATTATTTACAGCTTTTAAGATCGTGACGTAAATACGTCATTGCTGAAACGTCACGATTTTAAATTATTATAATTATTTAAAATATTACGAATAAAAATGTTCGAGTATATTTTTAAATAAATATTATATGTATAGGTTACGTATTTGAAATTTCAGAAAGTATATTTAATTGCAAGAATTTTTATGTGATAGATGGCGGTAAATTCGTTATCGTTGCAGCTTATTAGTGTTGCCGGTTGCTGTTTTAATGAATTATGTTTAATTTAGATGTCGGTGAAGTTGTATTTAATTCTTTCCGCCCTATGGGCACTAAGAGGGCCTCTTTTTAGCAGGCCTATTATGGGTTCGGCTAGGCTCATAATGGAACGACTGGATGATGAGGAGCGGGCCCAACATCCACCCCCGAAAAATTCCTGGGGATTTCTCGACCCATCCGGATTCAATCACGGGCCTTCCAGAGCGATAGGCTACCATCTTGAACGCTCGGCCATCTGGCTTTTTTTCTGTTTTTTAATAAATAATTTTTATTATCAGAACAATATATATTTTATACAGATAATTTCATTTTTTTCTTTTCATGAACAGCGTTATAGTTTTACCAAGTTAGTTGGTTATAAAATAGTTACATTTAAAATAGTTTACAACGGCATTACAGGTTTAGTTGCAGTGAACCATTACGTTCAATAATGAGTCCAGTCTTTAGCCAGTTTTCTTTTTCAATATTCGTAAAGTTCTGCTTTTTGTACTCTAACAGTTGTTGTTAGTTTTTCATTGGATTTTTAAAAATAGAAAAGATTATTTGTTCGTTGGTTTTTGTAATAGGATAAATTTCTGCTTGTTCAGATTGCGTTGATTAGTTTGGTTCGTTGATGTTTAGTTTCTGTGTACTCACAAGGCCACTTGATGTCTTCTATATTGTGCGTTTGTGTTACAGAACATTTGTTACTTACTTTTAATGTTGTCCAATAGGTTTGTGTGTTTGCACATTTGGATGGCGTGTTCGAGCGTTTCCTATGGAGCAGTCTGTGCAATTTGTTAGTTTTTTCTGCTTTCTCCATTCGTTTGTCTGTAGGTAGTTATCATGAAGTTTCCAAAAGATAGTTTTCGCTTTACTAGGGATATTTACAGTAATTTTGAAATAATTTTAATTATATTTTTATTAGGTTGTTCGGAAAGTAAGTTCGTTTTTTTACCACTAGACGGATTAGTCGTATTTTTCCCGACAGTTTCATTCTAAACCGTATTATCATTATATATTTTGACAGCTAGCATTTTAAGGCTTATTTGTAAAAATTTTGTTTGATTCTGTGCAATTGTTTATTTTTTGTGTCCCATCAAATATGAAAGATCGAAATTTTCGGCATATTTTGCTCTTTTATTACCGAAAAGGTAAGTATACTGTTCAAGCGAGAAAAAAAATTGTGTGACGTGTATGGAAAAGATGTATTAACAGAACAACAGTGCCAAAACTGGATTACAAAATTTCGTTCTGGCAATTTCAATATTGAAGATGCGCCACGTTCTGGATGGCCAGTTGAAGCCAATGAAAACGAAATAAAGGTACTGATTGAAGCAAACTGCCGAATAACAACACGTGAAATCACTAAGAGAGTAAATTTGTCAAATTGAACTGTTTATGATTACTTGAAACAAATTGGTTTCGTTTCAAAGCTCGATATATGGGTTCCACATGTTCTTAAGGAGAGATGCTCTCTTTGGTGGAATTTTAAGGAATTTTTTTTTGAGCTTTAACCAGACAATTTAACAATTGATTCGAAAGTGTACTGCCATTGAGTAAACAAATTGAGTAATATCATCAAACAGAAAATGCGGCCAGAATTGATCAACAAAACAGGTGTAGTGTTTTACCACGATAATGTCAAATTTCACACAAGTTTGGTAACTCGT